AGCAAGCCGACAGCAAAGTTTTCGCACGGGTGGCGCGGACATCCACAACGACAGACAGACGGACGGACGGAGAGAGACTCTGGCCAGTCAGCTAGCTCAGTCAACTGTGTTGTGGATGGCGGCAGACATCAAAAGCTGCAGAGCAGAGACGCCTTCGGGCCAAGCTAAAATGAGCCCATGCACATGAAACTGCTCACAGAGGAGGCGGGGCACACACACACACACACACACACACAGAGAAACTCCATAAGCGCGGGCGATCGACGCGATTCAATGCGTCCAGCTGCTAAGCTAATCAAGCCAGCTCATCGCACATCCATAACAACAACAGGCTTTAACAGTTAGCTGAACGGACGGACACGTGGCAAATGGCCATTTGATTGGCGAAAGGAATGCGCAGAGTAAATAATTAATAATCAATTACAATTGAATAGATTTCTGTTATTTCATCAAGTTGGTATTAGGAATTTGAATAAATACCAAATGAATGTTTTTTGAGTTTGATAATGGGAGGAAATGGATTTATGAAAATCTAATTAAGAGGAGGAAGCATAATATACATAGGGTAATTGCTGATATAGGCAAAGAGTATAAAATGTAAATTAATGTACAAATGTACATATGTGTAAATGTATATATTGAAATATGTATAATTTTTACTATATAAATATGTACATATGTATGTATGTAGATGCCAGCTTAAGCATAGGATAACATACAGTTCCGTTAATAATATTTAAATTAAATATATATTAAATATTTAACATATATAAGAATGCTCTATATGTATGATGAAATCTCTAGTTGACTAAATAAATATGTATGCTATGCTATAAATGATGAAATATCTAGTTGACTCTATGAGAATCTCAGAGATGAGCAAGCGTGTTTCTCTTAAGTTTGAGGACGATAGTAAAAATTGATTTATGTGTTAGAATGCCACCAAAGCTAGCTCTATACATTTAAGTAATCAATCAAAAATTTAGTTAAACTTCTCAAATTAATTTTAATAGAGGAAATCAACAGACCCAAACTCCTTGATATGCGCCATGCAAATTATTTGGAACAATCATTAAAAAATAATAATTTACATACTAACAACATTTATTCATCCTAGGCTATTAATTTTGTATATAATAAAGTTTACCCCGTCAAAATTCATGTTTTCCTTGAAGATATAAATCCTCTTAAATTCCCAAACATTTTGCAGTAATATACAATATATATTTAATATGTCTAAAAATTATTATATATACTTTTTTATAAATATATAAAACATTTACAGTCTAAGGACACTGAAATTCATGAGAATCACATAGAGCGGTGTTGCAGAGTGCACTTTGTTCATTTCGATTCATTAATTTTTAATGCCAGCACAGATTTTATAGAGGTAGATCAAACTTTGTTCATAAATACTATAAGAGAACAAACAATAATTAAAAAGTTTTAATGGGAAGTATGCAACTAAGTGGTTCCCTATAAATAGTTTAGAATGCCTAGAATAATATAAACTAAGTTGAATATTAGAAAAGTTTATATAAAACTTATCTAAGCTTCATTCGAAATCTGTACAGGGTACTTACTAGTCGAACAATTCGATCCGTTGTTAAATTGACTTCTCACATGTCCTCCGACTTTTTGCTATGTTGTTTTATTTTTGTCTGCTGCAGCAGCAGCAGCTGCTGCTGTTTTGTATATATTTTAATTCAGAATATTTTTTTTTGTGTAAACTGTGAACATTTATGCAAATTTTGTTGTTGTTTTTGTGTGTGTCAACAAAAATCTGGGGAGCTCGCAGTGGGCAGCGATCGATAATGCAAATGGGGACAACAGCTGGCGATGTTTTTTTGTTGTTGTTGTTTTTTTCTTACTGTTGCAGAGACAGAATGTCCGAGAGACAGGCACTGTGGCTGTTCTCTGTTCTCTGTTGGTCGCACAGAGCTCAAATTTTATGCAACAAGAACTTAAATTTGTGTATTATGAATTTCAACTATGGACGCAGAGGCTCCCATGGAAATCAGCAGTCTGCCAGGCCGCCACATGCGGCTGCATGTGCCGCACTCTCAACTGGCCGGATCCTGTGAGCCCCTTTTGGGCCAACTTTGTGCCGTTTGCTTGTTGCGTAACTCAAAAGTAATTAAATTGCAAACTGCACACAATGGAGCAAACAAAGAGAGAGAGAGAGAGAGAGTGGCGGGGTGGAGATTTGTAGCATGTGCGTGGGATTTGGCCAGGCAAAAGTCAAGTGCTGCAACTACAAAGTGTTGAAAGGGAATGAAGCGCTCTGAGCAACTGGCAACATGTTGACAGCATTCCCCTTGGCCGGCTGCCTGTCCATGTCTGGGGCAAAAAGTTATAGTTATGATGATTGTTGATTTACAGTTTAAAGTTCTGGTTGCTGTTGCAGTTGTTGTTATTGTTGTTGTTGTCATGCTCCCTTTGTGGCCGCATGTAGCATGCAATTAATTTTGTAGCTTGTACTTCAAAGGCGCCAGCAGCCGCTACGCATATTGCAACCGAAAATGAGGGCGGGGCAGCTGTGGCAAGAGCCGTTGCCGCCGCTGTCAATGGGTCTTTGATGCTGATGTTGCATCTGCAGCAGCATCCCCCATCTGCAGCTGCATTTGTCGCCCGTCGCCGCTGACAGGCGCGCTAATGGTCGCTGTTGACTCCGAAGGGGCCGCCGGCTCTTCGATCTGCTCGGCTCTGCTCTGCTCTGCTCTGCTCTGTTCCCAGTGGTAATCCGAGAGCTTTGGTATGCCTGTGCGCTTCAATGCATTGCTGCTGTCAAAGTCAAGACCTGACTTGGTTTTCTGTTCGCTCGGCTCGGTTTTATTTTTTATTTGCGGTCGACAGCGTTGACAGCATCCCAGCCGCCGGCTGAACTCCTGGCGGCCCACCTTGCCAGGTGCGGTGCGACCTTCGCGCTGTCAATGCTCTGATCTAAGTCCGATTTGTATTACTCTGTCTATTAATGAGATATGCGGCACACAGCGCAGCGCTTGCGGTTGCCAACCTAGCCGCCTCACCTTGTGCGAGCTGCATATCAAATTCCTGCAGAGATTCAACCAAAAATATGCGCATAAAAAGGCTTCGGGACTAAAAGCTGAATGGCAGTTGAAAAGTCAGGCGCTGCCTTTGCCCCATGCCCCATAAGCGTGCAGCATAATTACACTTTTATTAACATGCAACAAGAAGGAAGCCAACTGAATAATTGCCCCAGCTGTGGGCGCTTCGGCTGGAAGTTGTGCCACCCAAATCCCTAACGTTCCAACAACTGCCGAAACCCACTTCTGCTCCTGCCCCCTCTCACACTGCTCCGCGCTCTCTTTGTGTGCGCCTCTAGCATGCATGGCTTGAATGTTGAATGCAAACAGGTGCCAAGGCAGCGCCTCCTACTCAACCTACTCAACCTCCTCCTGCTACTGCTGCTGCTGCTGCTCTTTGCACCCAGAGCCAGCTTTGGCCACAGCTAGTCCCAGCTGCAGCCGTCGCATCGCATCGCATGGCATTCACATCCTTTAGAGACACTTGAGGCGCACTCGGCTTAAATGAAGTGCACACGCCGTCATGCACATCAAAGCGCGCCGACAGACGACGCCGCCGCTGGGGCAGCTAATTAGACACGCCTCCATTGGCATCGCCGGCCGTAATTAACATTAACTGTTACTCACACTTGAATGCTACCCAAAAAAAAAAAACACATATATATACGTATATAACTCACTGTATTTTTGTTGTCTTTTATAATAATATCCGCTGGCTGTTGTTGTTGTTGTTGCTGTTTTATGCTTTGTTGCACAAGCGATAAAAAATAAAAATAACTAAAAACATACGATCGAAAATAATGTGTATTTCGATTTATACGCTGAATTGAGGTGCTACCCAGCTAAAGTTGATCATTAATTTTAATACCCTGTATTTGAAGTGTAAATGGGAGTTTACGTTTGTGAAGGAATTGTGAAAAAAAAAAAAAAAAATATTTTAGACAATTTTTGTAAAGGCTAACAATATAAATATATAATTTTAAAAATAGTAAAAATATATACAAAAAATAAAAAATAGAAGAAAAATAATAAAAAGGAATTTATATATTATAAATTAATAGCTAAAATATAAAAAGATAATATTTTATAAATAAAAAATTATGTTGAAAAAAATTAGGATAGCCTTAAAATCTGTTAATTAAAAACTGCAAAAAATTTTAAAAATAAGTAGTCATATATAAAATAAAATTAAAATATAATTAATATTAAGACCCAAATATTTATAGTAAACTAACAACAAACAAATAATTTAGGCTAAGTACGATAGTTAAAATATAAAAAAAAAATTATAATAATAAAAAAAAGTATTTAAAATGAAAATAAAATATAAATAATAACTCAAGTACATATGTTAAATTTATAAAAAATGTTTTGGATTGCAGGGAAATAGTAAACAATACTAAATCACGTGAATTAAGCGGTGCTACGCGGATCAAATGAATAGCTTTTGCTAATGATATACATACATGACACACGCATACATACATATATGTATGCAGTTAAGGTTCCCTTTCCAGTTTCCCAGCTCTTAGTGAGTCAATCAATAAATAATTCATTCAAATAAAACTCGCACAACACAAGAATTTCAATTGCAAATATACATATAATATTTCTTGAAGCCTGCTTAAATATTAAACATTGAGATTAAAAGCTATAGAAATCAGACGAACTAAATACGATTTGCCATATATGTATAATAAACATTCCCTATACTCGATTTCGTTAAACGAATTTGCCAATTAACAAATATAAAATATAAACTATAACAACCTTCGCAGTGTCTTGGTTGTCGTTTCACATCGGACATTAGACTTAATATCGGTAAAAACAACACACAATATCATTTGTGAGCGCGTATCACGGCTAAGCTAGTTATAATAAGTATATATATATATATGTATATAAAATAACACAAAGACAGATAAACATTTTACGGGTGCACAACCCAACACGGGATATTAGATACGACTAATTGCATATCTTGCCTATACATATACATTTGGGTAAGGTTGGAAATCTAGAGATATATCGTTATGCCATGCCGATAGCTATCGATGTGGCTATAAGAACGCGTGCTCCATCTTCTCGTCGAGCGCTGATGCTTTCTGTGCGCTATAAACACCCTGATTGACATACAGATCCATAGCGGGCGTTGCAGCTGTCGGTGGCGGCGGTGTCAGATCCAGCGGAGTTGTCGAATTGCTGGACGGCGTAGTCGGTGTTGTCGAACTGAAGCTGGAGCAGCTCGAGCGAGCCGACAGCGATTGTGCCGAGCGTGTTCTCCTCAACGGCTCGGTGGAGCGAGCGCTCGTACAGCTACTGGGATCCCCATGGCTGTGCACGCGACCCACGCTCTTGAGCATGGTGCGATACGGTTGCTGCTGCTGATCCTGTGCAGCTTGACTGTAGTACGAGCGACGCAGTATGCAGCACGTGACCACAAATGGCACAGTCAAAATTCCGGAAATACCCAGCGCTATTATCACCAGCACGTCCAAGCCCTCGGAGCGCCAAAAGTTGAGCGAGTTGGCATGGGACTTTAGGAAATCAGCCCCACCTGTGCTCAATATCAGTTCAATGTGGCTGAGCGCTCTCGCCGAAGCTTCCGAATTGACAACACTCAGACGCTTCTTCAGCTGTCCCAAATGCTGTGCATAACTTTCATTCAGCGTCAGCTGCCGTATGCTATGAAGCAGTGCATCATAGGCCAGCGCATCATAGGCGACTGTTAGCGCAGCACCCTTCTGCTGCAGCCGCTTGGCCAGCACCTCCTGCTCGGCCAGTATGGGTATGGCAAGTATTGGCGTATCACCCGCAATGGACTCCCAAACGCTCAGCTGGCCGCAGCTGCTAATGAACAGCTTGACCTTTTCATGAGCTGGAAGGCAAATAAGTTTGAGTATTATTGAAGGCTGTACTAAGCTAAAACATACCCAGTATGGCCTGCTGGGGCCACCAGCTGTTGATCATTATGTTGTCGGGCAGCGGTTGTATGAACTCCTCAGTTTCCCATTTGAGCAGGAAATGAAATTCCTTGAGATGCGCAAAGACATCCAGCAATATGGACAGCTTCTCGCTGGGCAACTGAGCCGTTTGGACTTCGGCTCCAAGGCTCATGTAGATGACCCCACTCGACGCAGCCTCCATAAACGAAAGTACATGCTGAATAGAGAATAAAGACTTTAATTTGTTACTCTGTCAAAAGTGGCGCAATTCAAATTACATTTGGCACTTGCAGCTCTTGGGGCTCCAGCAAATGTAGTCCGCCCACCTCCAGCATATTGGGTAAATAGGCACGTGGATAATCCATAGCAGGATGCGAGTTGATCAAGGCAAGACTCAAGTTCTTGCTCAAGTCTCGATAGTTGGGTAGCTCACGCACCAGCAGCTCAAAGTGATTTGAGTAAACAGATTGCTGGGAGATCAGGTGGAAAAAGCTATAAGTACAGAACCAATCAGAGTTTAGCAATATATATAAAATTTAAATTCTCTAGTGCACTCACTTGTAGGTCAGACGCTCAAAGGTGCTCATTAGCATATTCGTAATGCGTTGCTTTGTGTTCATGCGCTCTGTGTAGGGTAAAAAGTTGCTCGGATCGAGAGCGGCGGATTGAGGATTACCAAACATGTTGTTGAGCCATGAGTTGGCACCGGTGGGACTAATTGCAACGGTGGGCACACCATAGTAATAGGCAAAGCTAAAAGAGATAAACAACTTTGAGCCCTTCCATATATCATCACTTTCTCCTCTTTACTTACCCAAGTAATGCGTCACTTAAAAACAAATCCACGATAAGTAAATCAAATTTCTCTCCGCTAGTTATTAGCTTTTGCACCTGTGCATCCGAGAGTAGCAGGTCCACATTTGTGGTTCCCGCATAGATCATGCGCGTGAAGCGCTCCATAACGGTCTGGGCGTGCATCTGTTCCGCCTCAAAGCTCATGCCCATGTCCAGCCAATTTTGCTTGAGATCATGATCCTCAATACGTATCTCGCGTATTCTGTAGAGTGCTGCTCCCGCATCTGTCGCGGATAATGCATGTGGGCTTATTAGCGTCACCGAATGATTCTGTGGACCGGCCACCAGTTGCTGCAGCAGGCGACGTCCAAAGAGATAATGCGATCTCCAGACGCTGGGCAGCACCGCCAGGATGTTGGCGCCGGTAGCATGGCTACAGAGCAGCCAAAGCGACAGCAGTTGTAGCAGACGCATCTCTTCACAGTGCAATGAACTTCGACGTGTCCTCGGCTACGGACCAGTTTTTGTTTTCCGGTTTTAGCGGCCAAATCCCTCCCCCTACAACGAGCCGTTGCGGCCTTTCTATTATTATCGTTTGCTATTGCTGCTGGCGCTGCAACAAGACTTCATTGTCGCTACGGTTGCACTTTAATCTTATACAATCCTACATTGCGCTTTACCGCCTTCCTAATTAATGTAAATTGGTTTAAAATCGCGAAACTTGTGTACAAAATGCGCAATGAAAGTGAAAAGAACGGCAACAACAACAATTAAATCGCGAATAAGCCAGGGCTACGCAAAATCATGCGTTCGCCACTGGTGAATGACAAATGTATACGCTATGGATGAGTAATCAGTTAGCAATGTATCGATAATATCATAGTATGAATGTTTACCTGCTGCAGTGTAGCTTACCTTAAGTTCTTTATCTGAAGGTGAAGCGATTGCACTTAAGGCTGTAAAAAAACAGTTGTAGCTGTAAGTATAAGTTAAACACAAAAGAAACTAAACTAATTAATTCTTACATAGTATTTAATGATATCATTTGGTGTTAACGTGTGCGTTGTGGTAATAAGGAGCAACACGTGAACAACACAGTAAATGCACAAAACTTAGCAATACGTTATTCGTGTGACTAGCTAAATGAATTCCACATTAGTCAGCATCACTGACCAGTGTCAGCATGTAAGTTTTGCCTAGACCGTTAGTATTTAAATTGTGATTTTGCGCACTTTACACTATCGTACATTGTCTTGTATCGATAGTTATCCGCCTAATCGGCTAATCGTTGGATAAAAAAAAAAAAAACAAATAAATATAAGAGTGGGCAAACATGCGATTTACGAATAAATAGAATGTATTAAGACTGATTACTTTGTGTGTATCTGTGAGTGTACATGTGACTTTTAATTTAAATACGTACATATATGTATGTATGTAAGTACTTTTGCCAATTACCCAATTGTTAAATCACCAACAGATGTGCTAACACACGGTAGCAGCCGGCGGGGCGTCTCTACAACAACACCTCTGAAATTTTATTGGAACTGCGCCAGCGAAAGAAAGAAAAAAAAAGTGCAGCATTGAACCGAATAGCACAGCAGCATTTCAGCTGAGAACGAAACACCTGCTTGCATTTTATCAGAGAGTCGCTATAGACTCGGCCCTAAGTACACATAAATCAAGTGTAATTGTAACTAAGTGGCGTACGAATAGGACTCGAAGCACAAATTGGGGCCCAATAAATCAAAGACACTTGAAAGCAGCGACGCCGACAGCGAACTTTACGTAATCGCACATAACGGACGACAGTTTAAATTCCAAAAACATGGCTGCCCAATGTGAGTGGTCGAAGAAGAAATACGCCATTATAAACATTAATTCATATCATTATCACCATCATAATTTATTCATATTGCAGCTCTGGTCAATGTGGAAAATCTATTTGATTTGAATACGTTCAAGGACCGCTTTCAGTACTATGCCTGGATGACGGATCCGCGTACGGTGCTGGTCTCAAGCGACCGTTTGCTGCAGGCCAAGAAAATCGTGGAGAACTATCGGGCAGGCGAACAGACACCCAAGCTGACGCCCGAGGAAGTGAAATACAATTTGAAGCTGTATAGCTCGGCATTTCATCCGGATTCCGGCGAGCTGCAGAACTTTGCCGGTCGCATGAGTTTTCAGGCAAGTCGCGTGACAGTCAGCTGCAGCAACATTTACATATATATGTATATGTATATTTAGCGATCTGCTGTCGTCACTCGCACGGTTGCCAAATACTGAATTGCATCGTTTCTTTGTTTCTTAGGTGCCTGGGGGCATGTTAATTACGGGCGGCATGTTGGCCTTCTACCGCACCGTGCCCGCCGTGGTGCTCTGGCAGTTTCTCAATCAGTCCTTCAATGCGATCGTCAACTATACGAATCGCAATGCCAATTCGCCGACCAGTGTCACGCAGCTGGGTCTGTCCTTTGCGACGGCCACGAGTGCAGCTCTAGTGGCTGCGATTGGCTGCAAGAACTACTGGGCGAAGAGGGCGTCACCATTGCTGCAACGCTATGTTCCGTTTGCGGCTGTGGCAGCTGCGAATTGTGTCAACATTCCCTTTATGCGTCAGAACGAGATAATCAACGGCATCGATGTCAAGAATGCCGACGGTGAGATTGTCGGCCAGAGTCGCTTGGCGGCCATCAAGGGCATCAGCGAGGTGATCATCTCGCGAATCACAATGGCAGCCCCGGGTATGCTGCTACTGCCCGTTGTCATGGAGCGACTGGAGAAACTGCCGGCGTACAAACGCATCAAATGGATCAATGCGCCCTTCCAAACACTCATGGTGGGCTGCTTGTGAGTAACTTTATTTAATCAACCCAATTTAGTGACTCAAACTAATCAGATATTTGCCATTTGACAGCCTCTGCTTCATGGTGCCCACGGCCTGTGCCCTATTCCCGCAGCAGTGCAGCTTGGATACCAAAACAATGAGCACCTTCGAGCCGGAACTCTACAAGGATATGGTCAAGCGCACGGGTGGCAATGTGCCCGATCGCGTTTACTTCAACAAGGGTCTGTAAGGACGCCGAAGCTGAGGCCAGATATTGTCTGCTAGACACTTAGACAATAACCGTAATGATTGTTGTTGTTGTATAGGCATTTATAGAGACGCGCAACGTAATTGTTCCTCGTTCCTGGTCAGTCACATCGGAGTAGTCAATGCGCAAACTAATTGATATCATAATTTGTGTTTTATGTGAACTTTTTTTTTAATTTGTGTAGTGTTTTGTTAACATAGTGAATATGTTTTTTAATGTATGTGAAACTGTAAGCTAAAGTGAAAGATGAATTATTAAACTATTCTCAAGAATATTGTAAACTAGGCTAAATAAATAGACTCAGCAACAGGTTGATTCGGAACACTTTAAGTTACTCAAAACATCACTTCATTAGTTACTAATTATAATTTGTTAATTGCGTGCTAAAACAAAGTCAGTAGGGCAACATTTTTAATAACCCAGAAAAAAAAATAAAATAAAATGACATTCATATTAGAAAAACAAACGAGTTGCGGGCTTATAAACGGTTTTATTAGGTATATTGTTGTATTTTGTATATATGTATAAGTATATATATATACCCATATATATATATATATTGTAATTAGCAAATGTTTGCGGAATTTTCATCATTGGATTGTGTTGTAAAATTTACAAAATGTGCAAAACACAACTAGTTAGATTATTTGTTCACTTTAAATCTTGGTTAATTACGTGGAGACTCTCGTATTTATTGTACGACTATTTATCGGGCATTTAAACATAGTTTTGTGCTCTTGTACTACAACAAATTTTCGCATTTATCTTTGCGTGTTTTTAAATGTATTTTTTATGTGTTTTCATTTTCATTTTCTTTTTTTTAATTTTGGACATTTTTTAAGGTACAATTTGAATTGATTTTTTATTTATTTTTTATATTCTTGTTTTAGTTATTTGTTAAAAATGTTGGCACTGTCGCAAAATACTAAACATTGATGAAAAAATTCAACACTCAGATGTACAATATGTAAAATTGTGTGTTTCACTTAAATGTAAAAACTAATTCAAGCCCTCGCCTCGGCTGCGAGGGCCGTTCAATAACAAACAATTCTGCTGCCTGGCAGCCAATTTCGTTTTCCATATTTGTTCCATGCACAATTTTTGTTTATTTTTATAATTATTATTCTCTTTTGGAGTGCCATTGAATTAGCAAACATTTAATTATATATTTATTAATAATTAATAACTTTTGCAAAATTCTCGATACACACAAATATACATTCGTGGAACATTTAAAAATTGAATTTTTAAAATTATTTATTCGATTTTCTTTTGTTTTTCATTTCACTTCATTTTTTTTTTTTTTTTTTTTTAAGTTTACTGACTGAGGCATTCAACAATTAAATCGCTTGGATTGCGCATTAAAATTATTGCAAATTTCATTATTCCATTGGTATATGTATTGGATTGATGTGGTTTTTCACATATATATTTAATGGGGCTTGTCCAACCAGCTGGAAAAGTTTCGACCCAATCTCTATATATATGTATATATGGTTTCGGTAGACGTCCAATTGTGTGCACTCTTTCAATGGAGGAACTCTTTCCGTTTTAGCTGCCTTTACAAACGTTGCACTAAAAATTCATTTAAATTTCAGACTGTTTTCTGTCCACAACATTTCTGGGAATCTGCCATGAATATCATCGAGTAAACATCGTTGCAATTAAATTGATATTGATATTGATTTGAAATGTTTGTAAATTAGGTTAATTTCTTTTCATAATGTTGCGTATACGCCTTGTCTATCAGAAGCTTAACAGCTCTCTAAAATAACAGACAGTTAACAGCGTTGCAGGAATTTTGTTTAACAGAATGTCGCAATCTTAATATGGGTTTTATTTATCGGCAGACTCGGTTTCTAACTTCTGTGTAATTCTCTTCTAGTTTTTTCTGATACCCTTTAACTTACCCTTACTCTTAGCGCTCTTGCACTGTTCTCTGAGATATTCTGTACAAACATTATATATGCCTTTTCCTTAAGCATTTTCGATAAGTTTTCAAAACTGGAATCGTTCTCTCTTGTCCATATTCCATTTCATTTTCATATATATGTATATTTTTTTCACTTAGTTTAATGGATTTTTATTTCCTTTAAAAAACCATTTAAGCTTGTTTTGTGTCTTGTTATATTTTATATATTTATATATATATATATTTTTTTTTTATTTTGCGCACAGCCTTTTTTTTCTCAAAAATTTTTTTTCTGGGTTTTCTTTGTTTCTGTGATTCATATGTATAGTATATTTATTGTTCATATATATATATATATATATATATATAAGCACATATATATATTTTTATTATGTAGTTTATATATTTTTTGTAAACCGTTTTTCGTGTTGACGACACCTGATCATTTTTTGTACCAACTTTGCCTGACTGCATACATATATAGATATAGATATAGTATATATATATATATATATATATATATATATATATATATATATATATAT